TATATAATTTATTATATATTATATATTAAATTTTGTAAAATCTCGATTTTACCAATTCGATTTTACGATTTCGATTTCACCTAACCAAAACGATTTTAGGTAAAATCTCGATTTTGACAACCTTGGTTGCGACTACCCACTTTATACCAGATGAGGCCGAAATGTCAATTCAACTCTCTCTCCGTGCTCTTTTCTGATAAAAAAAAGAAATAGCGCGCCTTAGTCAGCTTTCTCTCTTGAATTAGGGCTGGTGCTTGTGATATCGAAGGGCACGGAAGCGGGTCGGCATAATGGATGAGAGTCCTGAGACTAGCCGCTCTGGCCACCCCAATTCATTAGGTAATGGATATTGGAGTTTTCTTTTCGATTCTTATTCTTCGGTATGAGTTTACTTTAATTTCTTTTATTTCTTTTCAATTTATATTTACTATACTTGAAATTGTAGTAGCAAGGAGCAAATTACTGGTTGTGTTTCCACTGTCTTTAATGTTTATTTTATTTTCTTTTTTTTTGTTAAGCATCTTTAATGTTTAATTTGTTTGTATTTTATTATGAATGTGATAGATGTGCAAGGTTTAAATTTAATGATTCCTAGAATGACTGTAGATACTTTTTGAAGGCATCTTAGAGCTTTTTTTTAATAAAGTTTTTAGTTTGGACTTACAGGCTAAGGAAATGTGGTTAATTATAATCTTCCCACTCAAAACAATAATTAGAATGGCATTGACTTGAAAATAATCAAAATGGCATTGATTTTCAATAAGAAGGATGTTCAAAAATATATGAGAATATATTAGAGATGATTGAATAAATGTTCTGTGAGTAGAGTACCAACAAAAAGTCTATTGACGCCAAGCTCTAAAATCAGATAATATTTTTGAAAATGCTGATTAAATAGTTACTCTCCATACCAATGGATTGAGGATTGCACTTTTTAGCAACCCTAACTGTGCCATGGTCATTTCCTGCTTGCTGCCCAGACCCTAAGAGCTTGCTCTTATATACATAGTCCTATTTTTATTCACCTGCAAATATATGGTTGGTCCTAATTTAATCCTGTTAAATTAAGATGAACGTGGAAATGCTCTAGCATGCAATTCCTTTTCTTGGTTTGGTTTCATGCTATTTTCAGTACTTATGGCTTGTAATTGGCTATGATGCAGATATTGAGAAGCTATTGTTAGAAGCACAGCATCGGTGGTTATCCCTAGCTGAAATATGTGAAATTCTTCGGAATTATAAGAAATTGCGGATTGCCTCAGAACCCTCTAATAAGCCACCAAGTAACATTCCCTATCTCTAATTGGCATTAGCATTCAGACATAATTCCTTTTGCAAGACAATGACAATTGTTCTGGTGACATCTATAGTTTGTATTGACATGAATTTAAACCTTGTTTTCTTGCATATACTATTAAGTTAATGAGAACTCCTCTGGAGTGTATTTTCTTTCAACTGTTTTTTTTTTTTTTTTTCAATTATTTTTTGGGCACCCCTACAGCTGGTTTAAACATTTAGTTGTTAAAAATTTTCCCTTTTCATTGGTTTTTTGATCCTCCCATATGTAGGATCTATACTCTTTCTGCTCAGAATGTTTTTGTTTTTACTTCTCTTAATTAGTTTCATGAGTGATTTTTGGGAGTTGGATTTTGCTTCTGATGTTATTTCTCATGTTCCATCAACAGACACCATCTACTGCTTTTAAGATGTCTTTCTAACAAGAATGTACTTACTTTATTCAATTTATTAATTTCTTCAAACAATGCTTCTTCTCTTATTTTCTTTGGAAAAATTATGTAATTTGTTCGACCTCTAAAATTAATTAGCTTATTTGTTGCATGTCAAGAACTCCTAGTAGATAAATCAATAACTCGTGTAATTGGAGTCAGCTAGGTGTATTCTGTTATCAACATTTGGGGTTTATGGATTATGAAAACATCTTTTGGTTAATGATATTTTCTTCCCACAAAGGCCTAGGTCAATGGCTTTGAAAGTCTCAAGCTCAAGTTCTTATTAGTGGTTTTTGAAGGTTTATTTACCTTGGCTTGAAGAGTTGTTTGGTCAATATAGATTTCAAGCTTGGGTTGTTTAATTAGCTTCTCAAATAATAAGCACAATTTGGATTGAACACAGCCTTGCAAACTATTTGTGCTTTCTAGCAAAACTTGCACATGCACATGCAGACATTTGAAGTTTGTTTCCAATCACCTCTTGGTAATATACATTTCTGTTTTCAGGTGGTTCAGTTTTTCTTTTCAATCGAAAGGTGACAAAAATTTTTAGAAAAGATGGACATAATTGGCAAAGGAAAGAGAATGGAAAATTGGCAAAGGAAGGTCATAAGAAGTGCAAGGTAAGAGCCAAAGATTTTGGATTTGTTGTCATAATTTGGTTATTCTGTTGAATTCTGATATTGGGAATACATTTTCAACATCTTTTCTATGCTTCCAATCTACTATATTGAGCAATCATAATTCCTTTCAGGCTGGAAGTATTGATGTTTTGCATTGCTACTATGCCCTTGGGGAAGAGAATAAAAATTTTCAAAGACGTTGTTATTCAATGCTTGAAAAGTAAGTGTCATTTTTTATGTGAATGAGTCTGCCAAATTTTTTATTGGATAGTGTTTGTGTACATTTGCATGCCATGGATAAAATTTGAGAAAACAGCTTTTATTTATGTGGATTAGAGAAATAGTTTAAATTTGAACTTGGGACTTCTTATATGATGCATTATTTAATACAAAAAAGTACAATTCCTCCTTTATATTATTGCTTTTATTTTTAAATGATGGATTATATGCTTATAGTAAAATTTAGTGTTTCTTTTTCTTGAAAATTATATTCCAAATTTTGACAAATTGTTGGTCAAATTAGAATTTTGAATCTTTTTTAAAGATATAGTTAGTTCCCGTCTTTCATCAGATAACCAAATAAAGCCCTAAACATCTTGATTAATCAAATTAAATTTTTAAGGAATTATCTTTGATATCAAATAATAATATATGAATTAAAGAATAAAAATCTATACTACCTTGTATTACATGAGGTTCCCTGGCTTATTGTCGGGTTGGACTCTGTTAATTTGGTGATTGCAAATTTTAGATTGATTTTTTCAGGCTTTCTCCTCCTTTTCTGACATAAATTACCACTATTGCAGGGACTTCTCCCACATTGTTCTTGTCCACTACCTAGAATTAACGGTTAGAGTTTATGATTTATGCTATCACTTCTTCTTTTTTTTATTTTTTTTTCCCTTTCCTGTCAGCCATCTTCTGAAATGAACTTATGAATTTTATTTTGTACACTTTGCTTTTTACTTCCTAAGGAGATCATTTGGCTGATGCAGTTTACAACCCAGATTAAACTGAAATTTTGTTGTTATATTAGGTCAATTTAAAGAGCACAGTCTTGAACTGATTAATAGAACTGGCACAGCCAAATGCTATCTTGAAACATGGATGTACTACGTAATTTGCTTATTCTTTTACGTTATGAACTGGTAAACTACAAGTTCATGCATCGATTGTATTCATTTTCCCTTTATTTTTCCTTTTAAGGTTGTGAAATTTTTGCAATGGAAGACATAATTTTAATTGGCATATATTTTTCTTGTGGGAATTGACTTTGATATATAACATCATTCTTTTACCTTTTCATTTGATATATCATGTCATTCTTTGATAGGATCATGCCAATATATGGTTAGAGATATACTACCAGGCAGTTAATGTTGGGGCTACCTCTCTACTATCCTTAGCTTAATAGGGTCTTACTCTTGGATTCCAACAAAGCATATCTTTACTCCCATTTCCTTGGTCCTGGCTTTATGTCTTTCAATTCTTCAATCATGTTCTTTTTCTGTCTCCACCATTTATTTTTCTTTACTCTTTTCAGTGTCCTTATTCTGAACCATCCCAGTGATTGAAGTTGAGTTGTCCTTTAAGAGAATAGTTGTTTTCATAGGAGTGATAAAGATGTTCCGATTTGTCAAGTGCCTGATTTCTGCTATATTTTTCCTCCCACTCTCTCGTCTTGGTACCTTTTTTTCTTTTTCTTTTTCTTTTTTCTGATTCAACCTTATTCTTTTACAACAAAGCCTACCGATGATTTATCTTATATCTAAAACCTTCAATGTCTTCGCTGCAACAATTCACAAAGGCAAGTTATAGTGCAGATGTTCAGATATATTTCTGGATAATGAACTGGATGTTCACATGGTAAAATAGGATCAAATAGATTTTGTAATTGCCTGGCTGGGAAAAAAAAAATGGAAACATTTTGTTATCTATACTCTTGTAAATAAGGTGCCTGAACAGTTTCATTATAGAGCCCTTATTTAATATTCTTTTTCTGAATTTATATTAGGGAAGAATGGAAGATTTTAGTTGTGTTAAGAAGACTGGAGGAGAAATTCCTCATTCCCAGGTAACTGAAAAGATTATGCCCAATTCTGAGATTGACGGTTCTTCGTCTTCTGGTTCTCGTCCAAATAATTGCCTAGAACCTTCAGAAAATACAGATAGGTATCTGGATGGTGCACAGCCATTGGAACGTGAAAATGCTCAACCAGGTGAACCTTTTTTTGGCTTCAATATGTCTAGGTTTGCAGTACATCATAAATTGCTCATCTATTCAATTTAGAAAAAGTTAGATAGTTTCTGGATGATAAATGCATTGATGTCTTTAATATTCTATTGAACAGATTGTTTTCATGAAAAATTTTCAGCCATTCCTGGAATAGATTGTTTTAACACTTATGTTTATTTTGCAGCTGAGATGGAAGGTGTTTTGAACGCTGCTAGGGGGCTGGCTATCTCGAAGAAGTCAAAGACTTCAACTGTGGCAGATAAGGGGGCAGTAGAGAGGGAACGCCTATCCAGCACTTCTGCTCAAGCTCTGGAAATGCAGCAAAGGCTAGAGCCTATGAGGAGGGGCAGTGAAGAAGTGAGTGAGGAGGTGGCGCCACTGCAGAGGAAGAAAAGGAAGGTGGTAGAGCCAGAAGCTAGGGGGGATGAGGTGGTGGAATTCGTATCTTGGC